GAGTTCAGATAATGCAGTTACAGATGCGTTATCTAGAATCTGTTTGAGTTCGAAAAAGTTAAAAGAATTAAATGAGAACATCATAAATGTCATCACACGAGCAAAATCGCGAAAAATAAGTAAACCATAATCCTCATCGTTGGACCCACAGACTTGAGGCCTGATCAACCGAAAGTCGTAAGTAATCATGTCAAACCAGCAGAATCAGTGGAGTTGCATATGGTTAATAAAGATGATTTAAAAACATTTTTATTAGTTATTAGTAAAGAAAATAACACATTTTGTTATGTTGAAAAGGAAAAGATAATTTATATTAAATATCTAAGTTCCGCCTCACGAATGACGCGACGCGAATTTGTGAGGGAATTAGATGATTATTGTAAGTTAGTAAATGTTAATGAAGTATGCATAATAAAAAAGGATGGCAATAAGGAAATAATTAAAAAACTAGTTGAAGAAATCAAATCTATGAATGATAGGACTGGTCCACGTGTACATATAATAAATAATGTAAAAATGATATATATAGTAAGGAGGACAGAAAGGTGATATTAAGGGGCTACTCCATGCGAACGACCTTGAGCATTTGGTGTGCCGCGCCGACTCGCTACAATATAATATCACGTAAGAAATATGTAAGGCGCCACCTACTGTAAGAACGTAGTATTTTTTCAACATCAATAAACTATTTTATGGAAATACACACAGCGTACAACGATAAATGTATCTCAAATTTTTTATTCGGTATATTAGTTGCATTATATTAGAGTTATGTATTCTCATATAATATTATCTAATTATGAAATTTTATAATTAATTATATATTAAAAATGAAGCATTGAAAATTGTGAGTTTAAAAGATACCTACTCACTATAGGTAAATAGATAGATAGCTCGCCTTTTGTACAAATATTTGGTGCAATAAAGAATAAATAAATAAATAGGATTTTTCGCAGAGTGAGAGTAATATAGAATGAGAGTCGTGGAGGCAGTTTACAAACATAAATTGCACAAGGACAAACATCCAGACCCGGAACAATTATTTGTAGGCCATACAAATACTTGTTCCGTGCGGGATTCGAACCCGCGGCCCCCAGTGCAGCAACTGATTGCTAAGCCAGTGCGCCACGGAGCCGTCGCCGGTTTATAGCTAAAGTGACCATACGTCCCGTTTTGAACGGGACTGTCCCTTTTCTCAGTCACCTGTCCCATTGTCCCCAAACAAAGCTCCGGGACACAAAATTGTCCCGTAACTCGTTGGATGGAAGTATTCAAAGTCAACAATCTTCAACATAATTTTTTTTAATCGAATATATTTTATGTCTCCCTGGTACAAATGCTCCAGTAGAAAGAATATTTTTTTTATTTTGAACAAATTGTGGACGTCTGAAAGAAACACTTACGGTTCCAGTTCTAAAGGCGATGTTGTTAACAAAGGTAACAATAAAAAAACTTAAGCAGAATTTTATTCTTATTTAAAATTATCACCAACTTTATTAAAGCAAATTTAATCCACTGACAAATGTAATTAATAATTAAAAAAAATATGTTGAATTTAATAATTACCGTCTATACCGAATATAATTTTATATTGAACACTGTGTAAAGTTATAGTTTTTAGAGAGTAAATAAACCCATGTCCTGTTTTGAGTTAAAAAATAAATGGTCACTTTAGTTTTTTTTTAGTTAAATTTAGTTAAAAAAAATTTAGTTTATAGTAAAAAGTAGGTATATTAATACCTACTTAGATACTTTTTACCGAATTAGGGTAGAAGCCCCTAATACCAGTCATGCCCCTAATTGCAGTCTTTTCGCCTTTTTACTCCATAAATAAGATTTCTAGTAGTCTTAACTACAAATATTTTCATCTAAAAAATTCTTTGTACCTAGAGGAAACTATATTTATTCAAATATTACCTCGCAGTTTTAAACCTAACAGTGTTAAAATCAAAACAGGTACGCAACGAAAAACGATCATTTTCCTAATTATTTGACAAGTTATGATCCCGGTAAAATAATGCTTACTTTACATTTTATCTCATATATAGGCTTTTTGATTTGTATGAATATGACTATAGACATAGTAATGCAGTTATTTTTGTTTTAATTTACAACTTATTTATTTTCTTTTAGTGGAAATTAATGGGACTGTAATTAGATAATATAAAAAATGTATGGAGTGCATAATGTCAGCCGCCCGGCTGTTATTTGGTTTGACGTACCTAATAAGATGTACCTAATTTCAGCCACGTAATATAAATCAGAGCTGCCATAAACTGGAATAAATACCATTAATTAGATCATAACTTAAAAAAAAAATTGGATATAGCTTTTATGGAATCAAGATTATGTAGAAATATAATGTGTTTTTTATTTGTTGATATATCTTTTAAATAAAAAGTAGATAGCTCCTAAAAACAGCACAAATAACGACTAGCGCGACATTTTGCTCAACCTGCGCCTTAAATGACTTCCATCTCCTACCTAGTAGTGGCATTGCAGGTATGAGAAGGATGGTCAACAATATAAAAAAGTATTATTATTGTACTGGGTTGGATAATAATGTAAAGAACTTTATTAGGCGTTGTGACAAACGTCAGCGTCAGAAATTTTCGTTACCCGTAAGAGAGCCATTAGAAATAACAACGTCAGCTAACACAGTGTTTGAAAAGATATATTTAGACCTAGTAGGTCCATTTGGAGTTGATAATAATAATTACCCTTATGCTTTAACGCTACAATGGGAACTCACTAAGTATGTCGAAGCCATTGAGATAATATGTTACTACGTAATAACATATTATCTCAATGGTCGGAGCATATCCCTTAATTTCTAAAACAACCAATGAAGTAGCAAAGAGTTTTGCTACTAACTTTATTCATAGGTATGTAGTACCGAAAGTAATAACTACTGACATAGGGAAAGAGTTCACCGCATCAATATTCTAAGAGGTAGGGTAAATTGCTTCAAATAAAACAATTAAATTGGACTGCTTACCACTACCAATCACTAGGTGCGTTGGAAGTGTCACATAAAAATTTAAATGCTTTTCTTCACCCTGAAATATGGAACGATTGGTTACCATTTTGATCGTTTGCCTATAATACCACAATTCATACAGACACGAAATTCACTCCTTATGAACTTGTCTTTGGTAAAAAATCTGTCTGAAGTAGATAAGTTCAATGTCGATCGAGCGAAAGAACTGTGCTCGGAATTGCAATGGCCATGAAGTGGCAGTGGCTTAGCAATGAGTTTATGCACTGAGGGCCGCGGGTTCAAATCACGCACTGAACAATTATTTGTATGACCTACAAATAATTGTTCCGGGCCTGGATGTTTGTCCATGGGAAATTTATGTTTGTAAACTGCCTCCACCGTACAGGAAACAAGACACAAAGATACTATAAAGTATAGGGGATAACGTTGTTTAAAATGTAAAACCGACAACAGATCGGTAAGAAAGGTTCTCGAGTGGCAGCTTCTTACCATACAGCGAAGTGTAGGGTGGCTCCTCACTAGATAAAGTGAAACCGAGTAAGATGGCTCAGGACCATTTGTGAAGACTGTAATAATAATGATAATGACGATATAGCAAGCCGTTTGGTTTGAATGTCGACAACAAGGGATGGGGAGGTAGCGTCTGGTGTTTCTTTGAATATGTTTTTATTATAGGATAAGAGTGACTGTGGCCCATAGACATCTACATCTATCCTCGACTACGAATCAAAATGCAGATGCGCTGTCACCCTTCAGAACTAAGATAGAATGCCTCGTATTCAGTAAAAAGGGTCTCCAGTTCTCTATACTCACCATACCAAACACAGCAGCATTAAGCTGCTATTTTACGCTGGTATTCTGTGAGAGCGTGGTCCTTCCCCGGTCGAGCCGACCCATTCGTGCGACAACTATACTACTAATATAGAGCTGCAGCGTTTTTTTTATAGGAGAGAGGGCAAACCAGCATGCGGCTCACCTGATGGTAAATGACTACCGCTGCCCATGAACAACTGCAACACCAGGGGAATTGCAGATGCGTTGTCGGCCTTTTAAAAAGAGTAGGCTCTTTTCTTGAAGGTCCGTAAGTCGTATCGGTCTGGAAAAATCGCTGGTGATAATCGATTCCACAAGGAAGTTGTGCGAAGAAGAAAACTTCTTCTAAATCGCACAGTGGTTGATCGACCAGCATGACTCTATCACGTAAAAAAATGTTGTAATATTTAATTTTTTTTAATTTGAATTTTATGTCCTGTTTTTGAGAAATTTAAAAAATCTTTTTTATTTCAAAATATTCCTTTAGGTTTAGGTATAGAGTCGTATTTTTTTAATATTAAAATTACAGATACACAACTTTTCTACAGATAAGTACCTATATAGATTTTCCTGTCTTGTGGATTCGAAACCACCTAGAATAGTCGTTTTACGTTTATTCGTGTTTATTGATTACCGATTACAGTTAAAATAATGTTACTCATAATCATTTTGACATTTCCTAGAGGTAAAAATTTGTATTATTATTTAATTTTACTTGCAGTGCAATGGCGACGTAAGAAAATCCACTACCCTTTATCATCTCGCGACAAGGATGGACAGCAGCATCTTCCTGATAATACATTAATTAATAATAATAATAAAATACTTGTAGTTGCCAACCCGGGGCAACTATAAAAAATATCCTCTATGACGCACCTACTGGAACGGTCTATGTTGAGCAGTCTTCTCAACTTGTCAAGAGCTGTAATGAATTAATGAATGAATGTACTTAATACAAGATTAATAATTAAATTTTAATTACTTGTAGTGGTTTTAAACGAAAATCTATTCTACGAAATAACACATAGTTGCAAGCTACGGTGAATAGTAGTAAATATGCCCAAAAAAATAAATTTTTCCATCCAAAAATGCATTATATAGTCACATTATCTATATTGTAACTGTTTTTTTTAATTTTTAAGCTTTCGGTGTGCATACAATAAGTCACTCAAAGTCCATTGACGAAATGTGCTTAGATTATGAAGATGAAAAGAACTCCATGATTGCTATTTCAGAAACTGGTGCGTATTCACAAAAAAATGCTATGAACGTCGTTTATAAATTTTACAACCATAATAGTTTATTTCTTGTGTGCTAGCATATTATGATATATCACAATATTTATTTTAATAAATAGCAGAAAACAATTATTATGAACATTTCTACGACGAAATGGATAATCGCTTAAGAATAGAGCATTCGATGGATATGATTTACTTTGGACCTCCGAGCTCCTTCATGAGACTTGATTCAGAGACTATTTTACATATTTTGACAAACACGAAAAAACATTTGATACCAATCACTCGAGCTCAGCTTGCTTGGGATATAATAACAGGTGCAATGAAGTAACATATATGTAATATCTTTAAAAAAATATTTATATTCACAAAAATTATTCATCCACAATACTCAATACAAATATTAAATACCTATATATTTTTTTTAATAAAAAATAAATATATTACATACAGATTTTCTAAGAAAATTTCTCCTGTATCGTGGAGACAGACCTCTACACTCAACACCGATTTCTGCGGCAACCAATAATTTTAACGAAGGCTAGCCATCTGCGCAGGACCAGGACAGGATTATAGTGCACAAATGTGTTCTAGCATAGGTGTAGCCTCTATTCCCGCACTCTCATATGATCCGATGGAACGGCAAGTCGACATGACCGGACTAGGATCAGGCGCAGGACCAACGGCTTTACCTGCTTTCCAATATTTACGAGGCAAGACCAGAACATCGCTCGTTTCCTTACACCGGGCCGCTACTGAAAATTTCGTGACAAAAAGACCTAAATACATATTTTCGGCCAATCCAGGATTAGAATCCGGGACCACATGATCGGCAGTCTCGCTTACAACCGTCAGACCAAAGACCCAGAATTTTTTTAAGTTACTTTACAAAGCTTAAATTAATTAGCTAGTGCTTGACTACAATCCCACCTATTTGGTAATTCAAGACACGTGATGGTGATTTCTGTTTTTTAGTACTGACGGCGCGGCGGATCAGCAGGGCGGCTCGTATCTTTAGCTTAGTGCCGGTCACTCAAAGCGTATGCCGCAAGTGCCGCTAAGCCGTATACCATCATCGAAAAAGGAAATTACGCCATGAACATGAATACATTACTAATACTAATGCCGAACATAGGCCTCACCGACTCACTAAGCAAAACACTTCGTCCGTATGCTAGGTGTAACCACATCGAAAAGAGTAATGCTCGACAATGTCTGTTAAACTGATCAGTTAAAACGGATGTAAGTCAAAACGATTTCCCCACTCATTGGCTTCAAATTTCAACTTAAGATTTCACACTCACGGTCAGTTTTTGGATGCAAGTCAGTTCAACTGATCAGTTTAACTGACCGTGTGTGTCAGCCTTAAGAAATCCGCCGTGCATTTTGTTGTCCGAACATAGAAGTAGGATGATAGGATTAAATATTTCAGCGAACACTCTAAAATATACCTAATCCATATAAAATGCAACGGTAACTTATCTTTCGCCATATTTAAGTACCATAGAATACTATAATACATAAACAAGTTAGTACCTAGGAGGGTTATTGAGTAGTAATTGTTTTCTGTATTGTATCTTATTCATCGCTGCTTGAAATTCAAAGTGCATAAGAGGAAATATGGGTGGTCTTTTCTCCATACAAACGTCCTCGCCTGTTTTCTATCTGGTTTATGACCTTAAAGCAATGAGTTTTTACAGTAAAATGAACATCAACCGCGTCTATGTTCCTATGTTTTCCTTTTTGATGATACATTATCTTTATAAGTACTAGAACCCTTACAAATTGCTCAAAATTGCTTATTTAGACCGCTGTCAACAGAGCCGTAGTGTTCAAATTTGATAACTAATACTCAAAAAAGAAAAACATTGTCCAATATTGGAGGAGGAAATGGTAGAGAGCCAAACCTCGAATTACGTTTTTTTACTTAGGCTATTCAGTCGGATCTGCAGTTGTCCTTACCGGACGCCGAGCGCTCGCAGAGCGACAGCGATAGTTTCTTCAAATACCTAATTTTCAAAAGTCTCTCGGCCTGCATTTCCTCTTAATATAATTGAGTGATTTTGAAAATTGAGAAGTAACAGTCTAGATACGTTCCATTGCTGGGGACATGTCTTCTCTCATTTCCATCAGTAATTTCAGTCCACCGCACTGCCTCAATACGATTTGTTGAACTTTACTTGTCTTTTGTACCTAAAATTTAATTTTTTGTCTTTTGTACCTAATATTTAGATATGCAGCTTCAGTCACGTTGTTTACTTTCATTGCCGCGCCTGGTAAATACTTAATCACTTTTTTGTTCTTAGAATTTGCTATATCTATTCTGAACAGACACTATCAAAATAACTGATTTGATTGAGTAAGAAACTTGGGAAACACCTGTTATATTATTTACTGAGTATTTTTTGTATAGAATTTAATATTACAGCTATAATTTCATAAAAATTAAAGTGCTATTTACTTTCAGATGGGAAAACCGCAGCATTTTTGCAGGGACGCGAGTTTCTTGCTTTTGGAAGTCTTTTGAATGTTATACCAGAAGAAGATTTGTATTACGTTAACTTTGGAGACAATTCAGTTTTCAAATACTTTACGAATCGCTATGTTGATTTAGAAAATAGAAAGGTATAATTACGTATTGGTAGCGATATTTTTTTATAATGTCATGATAGTGATGTTGATTGATTATGCCGTTTTCTGTCGCAAAAGTCTAAGTTTATTTATTCATTGATTTAAATTCAGTATTTTTAATAACTCTCCCACCTTTAGCGCGCATCTTCACTTGTAAGGATTTCTTAAATACAATCTGGTCTGTATTTGACCTTAAAATTTAAAAGGAGACTTCTATATCAACTTGCCCGACTACCGTCTAAGTTTTATGATATATATTTGCTATATTTAATTACATTCTATAGATTTCACTGTAAAATATATTTTCGTAATAAAGTTTGGAGTATTGATTGCGGCATACAGAAGATATTTTGGCGGTGACTGGCATGACAATGCTACAAGGATCAACGAGTTAGGATACTTACTATGCGGTTACCCTCACTTTGAGTTGAAGATGATTTCTCCGACTACGTTTAAGAAACTAAATATTGATGTTTTGGGTAAACTGGGCCGATGCAATGTTCAACAAAAAAAGGTTACAGTAGCTTAATAAATAAATGTAGATAGAATGCAAAAATAATAACTAAGTAATGGTCTCATTTACGTTTATGTATGTTAGAAATAGACGTAGACTTTATTCGACATAGGTATTTGGTATATACAATACTGAAATCACAACATAAGGAATAAGTGATAAGTGACATTGTAATAGACATTTAAACGTGGTAGAGCCATGCTGCAGCTATATTAATAGTATAGTTGTAGAACGACTAGGTCGGCTCGACCGGGGAAAGACCACGCTCTCACAGAATACCAGCGTAAAATAGCAGCTTAATGCTGCTGTGTTTCGTATGGTAAGTGTAGAGAACCGGAGACCTATCTTACTGGAAAAGAGGCATTCTATCTTAGTCCTCACGGCTGACAACTCATCTACATTTTAAATTTTAATTCGCAAACGAAGATAGATGTCTATGGGCCACAGCAACCACTTAACATCAGGTGGACTGTGTGCTCGTTTGTCATCCTAATTCTATAAAAAAAATCAATTTAAAAGGAGAATTACTATAAGTAACATATAAAAAAATAATTGTGTTACTACAGCCCTTCACAAGTCCGTTACTAAGAATATAGCTTGAAGAACCAAAAACTTATGTGGTAGCAAAGTTTTTAAAGTACTAGAAAGAGGATTGCTGGACGGCCCTCCACCTACATAGAGTAACGACTTGATGGCTCCCTATTTATCAAAATTCTTCGCACACAATTTTCAATCCTTTACTATCCATACACGTCCCAAAACCTGCAATGCAAGTTTCAGTATGTGGGTTCTTCTCATCCTCCATCTCTCCGAGGGAACTACGTTAATATGAGTTTTTCCTCGCCGTACCAAAACGCCGCTGAGGCGTGAGGTTTTGGAATAAATTACCTCCACTTAATGATTTCTCATATTTACGCGAGTACTACTAATTTTACGGAATTTATCGCGTTTAATTTTAACTTTTTTTAATTCCCTATGTTTCGGGCACTTTACAGCACCCACCATTACCTTCCCATATTAGAAAACGGACTTTTGTTACTGCCTTTAAGATGATTTTCTTCTTCCAGTGGCTAACTGTCTTAAGTGTCTGTGCGTATGCATGGGTTGATATTATAAATGTATTGTTTAGGTATGTTCCTAAGTAAGTATGCTTGAAATGTGTATAATATGTAAGTATGTATATATTATTTATAAATTGCGTATGCTATGTTACAGGTATGCAGTAGATATATTATTTAGATTATTTGTAGTAATATATATTTATAAGTGCATTTATACGTACGTTATATATGATTTTAGATTTATATTCACGTATAGGTACATATTTTCATTGCTTTATGTGCTTAGCTCGTTTATGTATTCTCTAACAGTCAACCACTTATAGAGAATACCTAAAGACATTAAGTCCGAAAATTGTACACTTTATGTGCAATAAAGATAAGATAATATACATTCAGGACGTCGAAGGCTCAGTACTATGCTATGTGGTTTCTTTGGGGGACCAGTGATTGATCAGCAGTGGACTTTATTTATATTACTGTATGTAAATGTTATGTTGATGAGGAAAAAAATCTATACAATTTTTGTTGTCACACACACACACACACATACACACGCGCGCGCGCGCGCGCGCGCACTCACACACGTACGCATGCTTGCACGCACGCACGCGCGCACCCCCACGCAATTGCACACGTACGCGCACACGCACACCCATAAACGCACATGCACACGCGCACTAACACGCACGCAACTATAGATACCAACGTGTGAACTTTAAAACTGCTTCGTAGTTTAGTAAAGTCGGAATACTTTGCTTTGGTGTCGATCGATTATAGATAGGGGTTCTACTACTAGGTCGCCGGTAAAACTAGCGACCGTTTTACTCAAACACTTTTTTACGTGGTAGAGCCATGCTGCAGCTATATTATGGTTGCAGCACGAATGTGTCGGCTCGACCGGGGTAGGCCCACGCTCTCGCAGAATACCAGCGTAAAAAAGCAGATTAATGCTGCTGTGTTACGTATGGTGAGTGTAGAGAACCGGAGACCCTTTTTACTACAAACGAGGCATTCCATCTCAGTCCTCAAGGGTGACAACGCATCTGCATTTTGATTCTTTATTGAGGATAAATGTAGATGTCTATGGGCCACAGCATCCACTTGCCATCGGGTGGACTGTGTGCTAGATTTTCACCATTATTCTATAAAAAAGAAACATCTTTAATACTTATGATTAATTTCATGCATTTCTTCCAGACTCTTTTTAACATTGCTGTTCATCCAAATGCCTATGGAGAACCGTATAAATGGTCTTCCCACGAAATAAGTCAACTTAGTGAATTATTCGTATGTAAGTTAAGTGTATTCGTATTTGTATAATATAAAAAAACAGTTGGGCAAACTACACAATTCATAATTCCTATTTATATTTTTATTCATCAAGCAAGTTCAGTTTCCTCGCACAGTCTCCGTCTGCCAGGGTTAACGTATTAAATAAACACTTATATGCCTTTTGAGAACTTTCCAGCCGGTCTATTGCTACTGCAGCCTACTGATCTGCTGGGTTATGTCTGTCACTCTTATTCTTTTACGGATATATTCGTTACGAATTTTAAGAGTTCATTTTAGCGAGGCAGAAGAGGTTTGTAAGGATCGTGATACTTGGCGATCTGTTCTCTCTGGCTACCCCGTCAGGGATTGTGCGTGAAGATAAGTAAGTAAGTATTTTAGCGAGGATTTTCTGTAACCGAAACCTTTGTCGATCGAATTGATAATCGCAATACCTACCAGACGTCTCACTACAACTACAGAATAAATAATAGTACAAGAACTATAACGGGGTAGGTAATATTATATAGACCACACACACACACACACACACACAACACACACACACACACACACACACACACACACACACACACACACACACACACACACACACACACACACACACACACACACACACACACAACACACACACACACACACACACACGCACGCACGCACGCACGCACGAACGCACGCACTCACGCACGAACGCTATCACACATGCACCCACGCACGCACGCACGCACGCAGACAAGCAAACTCGCACGCACGCACACGCCGCAACTAACACATAGCGATTTATTTATTAGATTTATGTAGGGTAGTTATCTTTTAAATTTTATTTCAGGTATACCAAAAGAAGACATTACTGTTTTAGAATTAGAAGCTATTCCAGCAATTAGTCCAAAGGTAATGAAACTGTTAGATAAAACAAAACTGGAATATTTTACGAAGCCGCAGATATTACGAATGAATCCAAAAACACGACGGATTTATATTTTAAGAATGCAGTTAAGTAGTAGTTTAGATATGAACCAAATAGCAAGAGGTAATGTGAGATTAATTAGCGTTCTCCTTTACAACTGTGCCTTTTTTGTATTGTTGCTGTCACATTAATATATTGCAGCGAACATAAATTTATATTGCAATAAAAAGTTGGTTTAAAAAAAACTTGTTTTTATATTTCATCAATTAGGTGGACAATGATGAGCCGTAGTAGCACATGAGAGTAAGTCCTTACTCTTTACTCTGTGGTAATAGCGCAGGAACGGGAAGAGAACGGCGACAAGCATTTGACCACGAACAATCTGAATTCGATTCCCACCGATTGAAGAGGAATTGTTAATTACTTACTTTGATTAACTGTGCACGTGTCTCGACGGCGAAGAAAAATATCTTGATAAAACTTGCATGTCTAAAAAATTACAGATAGGTATAATTCGATGATATAATAATAATGTTCGCCAAATCGCAGTACAAAGAGTAAAGTAACATTGCGTTGAAGTTCCTAAAGGAACTGTAACTGGATCCGCAACTTTGTCGTCGCCGCTGTCTGTTAGATTATAAGGGCTGGTTTACAGCTTTACACGCTCTATGGCTAGGTATGGCCATTCAGCGAGAAAACGCAGTTCTTGGAACGATACCGCTTGGAGGATTGGATGATAATTTAAGTTTTTAGTTTTTTTTTTATTAAGGACTTTAAAAAAAATAGTACAGTTAAGTTTAGACGTGTTGTTTTAGCGGGAATTAGACCTGGAGTGTAGTGTATATAGCCCCCAGGACAGTGTATATTAGTGTTGAGGTAGAATAAATTAAAGCAATATAATTAAGCATTTAGCATCAACAACACGTCTCTTCTCATTTAACACATTTACAATATTACATGGCGACCCTGCCAGGCGGTGCGCTGCAACAATGCATGCGCACCGCCGAGCTAATTTAAAATTAACAAGTAAATATAAATATTATTAAATTAAATCATAAATTGAAACGAGTGACAAAAGAATAATATAATAACGGAATGGACACAAAACCGGATGTGACGAAAAATAAATAAATATGAATACAAGAAGAGGCCACTAATAATGTTATAGAAGCTGACTGAAAAATTAAAAAGTATTATGTATGTATGTAATATAATGTATATGTATAAAAGTACTATTGAAGGCAGCTAAGAAAGATATGATGAATAATGAAGATAATAAAAAGTGATATTTTTATACAATGACCAAAGATCAAAATTATTCAAGAAACAGTAGATTAATTTAAAAAGGAAAGGAGCGGTTGTAATCTTGAAAGCTTCGTCCAAAACCAGAAGAATGTCAAAATTAGCTTGCTACATATATATTTATCTATGGTCAAAATTGAGCCAAGAAGAACAAAGAAGAAAATTTGAGGGTAACATCGAATCAGCGTATTTTTTGTCATTTCTATTTAAGATTTCTTCTAATCTTGAAAGCTTCGTACTAAACCAGAAGAATGTCAAAATTGAGCCAAGAAGAACAAAGAAGAATATTTGAGGTTACATAGAATCAGCGTATTTTTTGTCATTTGTTTTTAAGATTTCATTAAAAAGTTTTATAATTATTATAAAAAGTTTATTTTTAATATTTTATATCTAATATATGATAAAGTGAAGAAGAAGATGAAGTTATTTTTATCAGATAATTCAGATTACAATTGATTTTTCAATATTTTTATTACTATTTTCAAAAAAATTCAATCATAACATAAAATTAAAAATTAAGTTACGTTTTAAGCACTTATGTATTGACATACAGGCACAAGACGATTTTATATTCAATTTTATTCAGTTATTGTTTATTGTTTTATATTATTTTTATTATTGTGTTCTGCAAAAAAGAATGAAATAATATAGCAGATTACATTTTTACCTACTTAAATTTACCATCGTTTACCAACAATTATTTTTTCGTTTTAATTAAAATAATACTGATATATTATTAAATATGATATATTTCCTCGTTTTTTTTTCTGTACTCTGTAGTAAATTTTATTTATATGTAAGTATTCAATTTGAAAAGGTTTAAAAACAAATTGTTATTATTATTTAGTGTTAGTTTTTCTTTTCTTTTACGAAGGCAGTGAACCTTAAAGTTATGTAATAACCACCTTTAAAATTAAAATTGTTCTTTTGAATGTTTAAATTAATTAATGTTTGTTGTGTACTGTTGATAGGTGTTATAGTGATTATTCAATTATATTCTGTAAACGATATAGTAAATATCATACTTCTAGCAATCTTTTTCGATCCAGGTAACATTACTTTTACCTATCTAAAATTCTGTATAAATAAGAAATTTAAAACTATAATTTTATTTGTATCCATATATGTATGTAATAATAACATTGTAAAATTTATGTTATAATTAGGTGATCTTAATACGATGTAACCGCAAACTTTTCCGTATACCTACCATTGAGTTATAATGTACTACGTACTAGAGAAGACGCCTCAAGCCTCAACTCGATTGTTTGTAACATGAGTTAGAGTGCGTGCTCTCCAACTCACTTAGTCTGTGTCAAGCGGTTGCTGGAACGTGAGACGTTTGAGTGAAGATTTTTTTTTAATTAATTATGCCTTCATAAGCATTGGAATACTGTTCAAACAACTAGAGAAACGTACCTACGTAGTACATTATAACTCAATGATACCTACATACTTTGATAATTAAAACAAAGGTGTCTCAAATCGCTTGCGCTGCTAAGAGTGGGATTACAATTTGTATACTGATCTATGTTGATGATCATACTGATGTATGTTGTTATGTGATTATGTTATTGTTATTGAAAATGATTACGTTGCTTTGACTTCTTTGTTTCAACATTTTTTTTCAAACATTAAAATGTTCTGGAAACTCGTAAGAACTACCAGGGGACATTCACAACAGCCTAGAATGAATGCTATACGAGACCAGAATGGCTGTATTCTAAATGACGAAGTTTTGAGTTTAAGGAGATGGAAGGAATACTTTGAAAGCGTGTTTATGAGTGATGAGACGCTTGAATTAAATGAAATAGAAATTCCGAAAGAAGAGGAAATAGATAGAGATATAAGTATAGATGAAATAATGAAAGCAATGAAAAGTATGAAAGCAGGTAAGGCAGCCGGTTATGATAGAGTATCTCTCGAAATGCTAAGGGCTGGAGAAGGAGTGGTGGCAGACCTGCTGTACACCTTGTTTAATTTATGTTGGGAACTTAAGCGGGTACCGGGAGACTGGTGCAAAGCCGTGATAGTCCCAATATATAAGGGAAAAGGATCACAGCAGGACTGTAAAAACTACCGTGGTATCAGCCTTCTTAGCATTGTGGGAAAACTGTATGCTAAGGTACTAATTGAAAGAGTTATGAAAGAAACTGACGGAAAAATTTGGGATGTGCAAGCGGGATTTAGAAAGGGAATGGGATGTACGGATCAGGTCTTTTCCATGCGCATGATCGCCGAGAAGTTTTTGGCCAAAAACCAAAAAGTTTTTTGTGCGTTCATGGACTTGGAGAAGGCTTATGACAGAGTGGACAGGGATGTGTTATGGCAAACACTGAACTCATTTGGGTTGAGCGCTGGTCTGATACAGGCATTGAAGTCTCTATATAGGGACTCTAGTGCTTGTGTCAGGATCAACGGGGCCTACTCGGACTGGTTTGACATCCATTAAGGTGTCAGACAGGGCTGTGTGGCTTCCCCGTGGTTGTTCAACCTATTTATGGACAGTTGTTTGGAAAATTTGAAAGTAGAAGAATGCGGGTTGAGAATGGGTGAGTTAACCGTCAAATGCCTTTTGTACGCCGATGATCAAGTCATACTTGCGTCGTCGGCAGCCGAGTTGCAAATGATGGTTACATTAATGAACAGGACATTAAAAGAAAAGGGAATGAAAGTGAACGCAAGTAAGACGAAAGTTATGGTTTTTGAAAGAGAAGAAAGTAAAACGATATGTGAAATAAGAATAGAAGGGGAGTTGGTAGAGCAAGTAGATGAGTTTGTATATTTGGGATGTGTGTTTAGCAGGGATGGTAGATATGATAAGGATATAGAACGACGAGTGAATGCAGGAAATAGAGTGAATGGGGCTCTACACTCTATTGTGAAAAGTCAGAATGTGTCCAAAAAGGCACGTATGGCAATTCACAATGCTGTGTTAGTACCTACTTTAATTTATGGTAGTGAAAGTTGGGTGTGGCAGAAGAAGCATGAGAGTAGAATAAATGCTGTAGAAATGCGGTCATTAAGGAGTATGTTAGGGATGAAGCTGAATGACAGAGTGAGAAATTGTTTAATAAGAGAAGAGTGTGGTTTGCAAGATGATATTGTGACCAGGATTAAGAAAGGAATGCTTCGGTGGTTTGGCCATGTGGAAATAATGAATGAGGAAAGAGTGACAAAGCAAATTTATGTTGCAGAGGTGAACGGCATAGTCGGGAAGGGTCGCCCTAGGCGAAAGTTTATCGACCAAATTGGCGATATATTAAAAATGGGCCAAATCAAGAGTACCTTTAACCGACGAGCGTGTATGCGTAGGTATATGGATGTGGAGGAAGCGAGAGAGGTGTGTCAGGATCGTGCCAAATGGAAGTCCATAATCTCTGCCTACCCCTCTGGGTGACAGGCGTGAGTGTTTTATGTATTATTATTATGTATTATGACTTCTTTGTTCTGTATCTTAATATGAAATGCAATAATTTATTTTTGGTTTAATATTGATTAAACTTTCATATCATAAGGTTTTAACTATTATAATTCATTATTTTTGGGATAATAGCTTGAATATCTAACCAATTTGTGTGGATTATGAAAATAATCACTTGGTTTAATTCGATTTTGAAACTCATTATATTTTGTATACAATTAATTAATTTAAATTTTGTTGTGCCAATATTGTGAGCCTCAATCCCAGACTGACAATGATGTAACTAAACATTATGTACAAGGTACAAGACCAAGTATATGATATATAAAAGACGTAAGTAAATTTATGGTTATAAGTTACGGAATTTATCATTATGAATGAAAAATATTAATAGAACGTAGAAAGTGTGGCATAGGTAAAAAATTAGCATATCCACATACAATCGGCCCGATCAGCTTAGAGCTT